AGAGATAAAATTTTCTGGACCTGAGATGGGGAGAAAGCAAAAAATAGTCTTTATTATCGTCTGGCCTGTCGGCGGGGCTCCAGTGCGGTGGCGCGAAGTGGCGGGGAGTGGTGGTTTAGGAAAATAGCAATCGGGGGTGGGAAAGCGGTTTTGGCTGGCAGCAGGCAGGGCGAGGGTGGGGGTTGGGGGATGGCAATCACAGGCCACTGCAGCTGGCATCGGCTTGGAAGAAATGCGGCGGCTTCTCCGCGCCGATGGCAAACATCTCCGTGTAGAGCTCGGGGAAGACGAGGTGGGGGTACGTCGAGCGAATCTCGCCCAACACTTCGTGGTGCTCCGCGTTCAATTGGTTCAGCATTGGCAGGAGCTGGGTGAAGGTCGTGAGGCGCTCACTCGCTGCGTCGGATTTGGATTCTGCGGGGAGGGGAATTAACGAGACAACAGCGGCATTAGTACACACGCCATTAGCCCACACGCAATAATGCAGACGACAGGGCCAACTCACTTCGCTGCTCGTGATTCACCAGAGCCTGCATCGAGAGAAGGAAGAGGTGCTCACACGAAGCCGGATCCTCCAGCTCGTTCTTGTCTGAAAAAGCGGACCAAAAGGCAAGTCGTTAGCACTTCAAACGGTCGCACGATGCGCCTGGATTAGTGCATCTTGGAGCAGGCGCACGTGGGAAGGTCACAGAAAACAAAAAATTGGCAACTTTGTGAAAATATCTGGTTTTCTTTTGGCCGAAAACTGGGTCGTGAAGGGGACTGCACCGATCAGGACCTGCTAAACCGACGCCGCTGATTGGTCAAGGCGCCGGAAGGTTTTGAGGTCACACCGACGCGGCTACAGCGCTCGGAAGACTAGTTTTACAGTAACTCGACTGTGATTCGGCCCTAGCCAATCAAAACGCAACCTTAAACTCGGAGGTTCGGGGTCTAACCTTGCGTTCAACCACAAAATCTTACATCTGGAAGCTGAAAAACACCGGTTTTATTATCGGCTGTGGGTATGTTGGCAAGCGTTTTGCATCCAAACACACAAAAACTTTGTTGACGTGGAGAAAAGAACAAGAATTGGACGTTTAACTCACGCCGTAGAAGCTCCTGGATGCATATGATGGTGCTTTCTTTGTCATCCAACTTCAAGTGCTGGAGCACTTTGCCGGATTGGACGAGGTGGGAGACGATTTTCACAAGGGGAGGGAAGTGATGGATGATTACGTCCCGCTCGTGCTCACTAAAATGAAATAGACAGTTACTACTTGCAGAGTTTGAACCGAAATTCATGCCGCAGACGATGAATTTGGCAGTTCGTGAGTCGGTTCAACGGCATTCTGCAGAAAATCGGTGATATTCGTGACAATTTATCGATTCTACCATTAATTGAGGTTTAGAGGATTAGCCAATCACAGAAGAGACGGAGAAACACGTGCTTAGAGGGGCCAGAAAGTTTGCTGAATCGGCCAATCAAGAAGGTGGCCATTATGCAGGCGCCCCAATTAAAGGATTGTCCTTCGCAGAATTTTGACTCACTCTGCGATCTGGAGAGACATGATTAGGATGATGACAGAGAAAGTGGGTGTGTGGAAGCAGCCAACAAGCGCCTGCGGCCGTATTTTAAGGATTTGAACTGATCTATACGGGTTACAATTTGCGAAGGCGACAAGTCGCACTCACGTGGATCAGATACCACCGAGTAGGCGTCTGTCCGCATACATTCAGCAAGTCAACAGTCTAGATTGCCTACCTGTGAGGCAGTAAACAGTTGGGCGGAGGTAAAAGTGAAATTTCCGCCTTGATAGCATCTACCGAAGGACGATTTCCATCTAATGCTATTTTTGTCGTTGTTAGTAGTACACAACTCCTCAGCCCTCAGAGTGTGAGAAAAAAAATCCGCGATTGGCAAATCGGGTTGCAAGGAGGCAATCGTTTGTTTGTCTGATCTGACAATCGCGAAGGGCGCTGCTTTAGAATTTGAGTTCCATCAGCTGAGCTGTGTTAATTGATGCTTAGTGTTTTAAGCAATCACGTACACGCCCCAATTCTGCTAATAATGCTTAGGGTGTTTTCGACATGCTCTCGTTGCTTTTGATTGTTAGAACAACTAGTAAAAAGGCAGTGTTTACAATCTGCCCTACTCCCCGTCACCCCACCCCAACTGCCACTCGAAACTAATGACGATGACGTGGAATCCCGCACGATTCAGCTGTCTGTTGATTGTGACCCAACCGAAATGCATTGGGATTTAACTGCATCCCTCACTTCGACGGACTTTTAACGTGAGCTTATCGCATAGCAACGCCTCCAGATGCGTTCGCGACTTCACCACACAAACAACAAAACGTCTTCTTCGTAAACACGCGATTTTTGGGGGGGAAGGGAAGACACGGAGTCACATGACTTGAAAAAGACAGTGACACGCGAGGTTGCAGGAGGTAAGGACATCAAATGCCACTTCGTTGTAGCCTGCGAAATTTCGATCCTAATGGAGGCAACGAAGTGCTTCTATTGAAACCACATCACTGACGCTCGCAATTCACATCATCCCAAGTCCAGATTGGACAATCCCAGTGAAACTGACTTAACTTAAAAAGGACCCACATTGGACTCGGCAAATTATTATGATCCTCCACATGTGTTCTCCCTACTGAGTTACACACTGAAATTTCACACAAACACACGCACATAAGAGCAGCAGTGGGAACATGTTACATGTCCCGTTCGTCATGCGTTGTCATGGCAACTGGCGGCAGGAGAGAGAAGTACACGGACTTACGGAAAGTCGAAGTAGTTGTAGGAGAGGGAGCCGTTGTTCTGAAAATCCCTGCTCAATTCGATCAGCATGATAGGGTACATAGCAGCGCGGATGAGTTGCCGTCTATCGTTGATGCCGAGACGGTTAAAACCTAGAGAAGCGGGGACAAAAAAAAACAACGGTAAAAGCAACTCGCTAGACAGGAGTCAAGGCAACGTGTAGGGATGGGACATGGTGTGTTTTGAAAAGGCCATATCTAGAAGACCTTGAGAATGGTCGCTTGTGTCCCGCCTAATGTGTTTACGCACTAGCCGCCGTCTGATTGGTCAGCCGAGCCGGCCTGGAGGTAGGCTGAATAATGCGGCAAAGCAAATGAGGACATTCTTTAGCGCAATCGGCTTAATGAGTGAACAATTAGACTGTAATTAGCGTAAACTGGGAGACTACTCCCTAGAGTGAACGCTCACGCCTCAACATAGCGTCGAAAGTGTTGAAGGAAAAAAATTGGTGAGTCGTAGAGGCACTTGTCACATCTAGTTGGTCGTGATGATGAGAATTTAACCTTGCAAAAACACGGCAGTGGTCATTAATTGGATGGCAGGGTATGTGGAATTTGCAGGAAGAAAAAAACCACAATACACATCTACACTTGCAAAAATAAGCCATAAAATCAGTAATTCGGCTGACGCAGATGCAGCTATGCGGTTTTTGTGAACGCGAGCGCACAGCCAAAGAAGAGGAGTGGGAGAGCGTAGATTTCGGCAATAAAAAATAATTCCACCCGGTTTCCCTGTGTGTGCTGCTGGCAGCCAAAACACCTATCGCTACAACACGCTTTGTGGGCATTCAAATCACCAGTTTTTTTCCGGTGGTGATCAGAATCAATAAGTTGTCAGCCAATCGCAAGCCACGACTTCAACGCACCAATCAAAACCGAGATTTTCTAACCAATCAGTGCTCTCGCAAGTGTCACGGTGTCGAACTAGACAGGTAGGTCAATCCACGTCTGGAAGGTAGATGTACTTTTATGAACCTGCGGCCAAGGGGTATTGGAAAAATCAGCGTGTGAGCAAAAAAAGCAACAATAGCAAACTGGTGGAAGGTGCCACATTTACCTGCAATGAGTTTAGAGAAGTCGACGACCATTCTCGTGTGCGAGACGAACTGCCGCATCATTTGCGACCAAACGCGTTCAGCCGTGTCGGCTATGGTGAACCTGGGTTTGGCGTCATTTCGAAATCGTTTCAGCCGCTGTAAACACCGGCACAGGGGTAGAAGAAAAAATTGTTAGTTGGGCGTTCAGGAGAGGGGCAAAGCGTGCACGAATGGACTTACTAGTCGCTCGGATTTGAGGAAGTCGGCGGCTCGTTCGATTGCCTGGGTGAACTCCGCTAGACTCACGAAGACGTTCGTCTGTGGAACAACGAAAAAAGAAGAGGGTTGATGCAACCATCTCATGAAAATCAGTCAACCGACATGAACTCCAGGCACAAATTCTGTACAGGAGTCACGTGATGGTGCTCCCAAAGGTGAAGAACTATCACACCGCCTTGGAGAATCAGGAAACGCCAAATTTGGCATCCAAAAGGGAGTGAAAGAGCGGCATCACAAGACTTCAAATGAAACGGTGCCTCACCCCCAAACAGCCAATCAGTGGATCGCACGTATGCATCACAGCTCGAAAACGACCTCCCCGACACTGACCACGTCCCACGTCGAAGTGGTCAGGTCGATGTCACCACAACCAAGTTAAACGTCGCCGAGTTATGCAAAAATTACAAATGGAGGAGGTAACGTTTCCCTGATCAAAGGCATTGCTACTTTTTTTTGACAAGCTACATTTTGGGCGTATTCGAGCAAACAGATGATGGGGAGGGGAGGGAGAAGGGAGAAAGACTTTTGTATGAAATTAACCACCGGAATTACGAAGACTTGGGTTTTTTGAAAAAAAAAATTAGACAAAGCCTTACTAGACTCGGATTTTTACGGCCCCGCTAGGACGCCCCACCGGCTGCGCACACAACCCAATCACCACAAACTAGTGAACTAAACTATAAGAACATTGCGAGGCGAAATGAGGTAAAAGGCGCAACAGACAGGCTCTGCGCGATCACTGGGGCAAGTGAGGCGTACCATGATGCCATCCCGCACACACGAAGCTGCCTCAGACCCCGCTCGCACAACGTCTCCGTGAAGGCGCTGACTTGCGGCCAGATCGTTCCGATTCGACTCGGCATCGGTGGAGGCGCGTTCTTCGTTCGCCCGAACACCGCCCGACTCCGATCGGGAGGTCGTGGCGACAGGCTGGAAGGCGGTCGCCGGTTGCGGATGCTGAAGGTGGAACCTCTGCGAGCAGCAGGGGTGGGGAGGCGAGGAGGGGCCGGTCTGGCCACGGCCGGACTCGAACATGGACCCAGCGGGGGGGTTGCCCCAGAGCAAACTCGCAGCTGCTGCCGCCACCATTGAGGGGTGGTGTTTGGCGAGTTGGCGCAGAAACTCCGTCGTCGGAGTGGGTTGATTGTGGTGGAATTGCGAGGAGCAGCTCCCACCCGCGAATTGAGGGTTCCTGAAAGCGGTAACAAAGCGAAAATTACCAATCTACCTGGTCACTAGTCATCCAAATTAGCAAGTAGAATAAACGCCTTACAAGAGAAACTGGTTAGCGAAGGAGCTCGCCATAGGCACCGACGCGAGCTGCTGACAGAAGCTACCATCCAAGGCATCCACGCCGACGTCGAATTCTCGCAGGTCTCCAGGCTTGAATCCCTTTGACGAGGACGAAGACGAGATAACCGGAGAGGTTTGTTGGGGGTCCAGACGGTTCTGGAAGCCTACGCTGGACGACGAGACGCCAGATGAAGTACTCAGCGTGGAAGCTCGACTCCTCGATCCACCACCGTCCCCGGCGACCAAGTCCACTGACGTCGTCGTAGCTGCCGGCACCGCAGCACCAATCAAATCGAAGCTGCTATGAGATCGCTTCACGGGACTCGGCAGCCGAAGACTGGACTGGAGTTGAGTTGGAGAGGTAGGGGATACACCGGTGGGAGGGTGAGTTTGGGTGGCGAGGCGTTTGGGGTAAATCGACTCGTCCGGAGACGGAAGAGCACCATTCTGCTCGCGCTGGGATATCTCTCGAACGCAGTAGTACTTGATGGCATTCGGCTGGCGTCCAACACGGCTTCCTGTTAAAATAAGACCAATGAAAACTCGATGGGAATTCTTGTAGATTTACCGAAACACGATCACCGCATGTTTAAAGTACACAGCAAGGAAATTCACGTCACAAGTGAGATTTAAACTTGTGAGTTTGAAATTATATTAAAAGTTTCACAACACCGAATAATCTCTGGGATTAGCTGTGTTTACGACGATGGGCTGAAATTCGTCAATGATGTCCTCGTTGCCTCTTTCACAATAGCATTCGCATGTTACCTAAGAGATATTGTGCAAGGCCACAGAAGACGATGGACATTAATTGCAAGATTAATTCCACTGTTCTCTCGCTTTTATACTAGATAAATTTGCTAAAAAAAAGGTCTGAATAAATTAGGTCCAACGCCTAATATTCCCGACCCCGGAAAACTACGCCGTTGGAAAAATTAGGACTACATGCATTTTGGGTAAAAATAAAACTTCGGCGTGGACAAACCCACCCACGGGTGGTATTACAAAATTGTTTTGTGTACTACAAGGAGGAAAAAGAAGTCGCACAACAAACTGACGAGGGAGGGAAGAGGCAGAGGACGAGGAAGAAGAATGTAGACAGCCCCAGGGAAGTGCGGAGACGCCGAATGTGGGCAAAGGTAAAACGCTGCTTGTTTTTGCTTTGCTCTAGATACTGCTATGACAACACCAATAGACATCACACGCCAGTAGTGCCTTGTTATTAGATAACTCGGGGCCTTGGCACTTTGTTCCCCTCAAAACCCACTTCTAAATTCCAACTGGCCTAACTTTGGCAATGACTGTTTCAATTAGAGTGGTGTAAATTGGGACTAAGCGAAGGCGGAGACGGCTTAGGCTAATAAAGGCATGGTGTGGATGGCGAGAAGCAGTACTGCCAGCGCGATTTCGTGGAGTTAAACCCAACACATCAACGACTACTACAAACGGGCATTACTTTTGCTGCAACGCTGCAATTGGCAGGCAAGCGTGCAATAAAACTCACCGGGTTAGCTGGGGGTTTCTGGATTTAGCGCGAGCCGCATTAAGCAGGCACTACGAAGGTGACGGCGCAAGCGACAGGATAATTAGATTTGTGGGTGGCTCAAATTCACCGAAATTAGTTTAACGACAACTGGTCTTCGGTCGCGATGTCATGGCGTTTCAACGCCCACACGGATTTAAAAAACCACCCGCTACCTGCGTCAGTAAAGTCTTAAAAAATTCCACGAGCAGCGTTTGCTGTTTATCTAGGCGCATTGGAGACGCGGCACAATTGGATGGGGGCGCGCACTGGTGACGGTTGAGGGTTAGACACGGGGGAGCCGCACTTCACGACGCGTCTCGATCGGTCTTGGAAGACAGTCGATAAAAATCTGTTGTGCACACAAACGCCTTACGAAACATGTCAACCTCCAAGACAATTTATGGTAACGTAGTGCCTCGTGCAACCGACGAGAGCGCGCCAGGGTGTAGGCGCAGCGTGGGTTATTGGCGAAGTGAAGGTCACAGGAGACCAAAAACTGTTGTCAAGGCTGCAGCAGGTCACAAGTGCATCTCAAAATTCACAGTTCTGGTGTTTTATGGTGTTTTCAAGTGTGTGCGTGAGCACGCGTGTGTGCAGGATAAAAATATGCAAATGTCGTGCCCCAACTGTGTGCCACCTAGACAAATTAATAATGTGATCTGCGAGTAGGCAGTCAAACATCGCTTCTTCTTCTTTTTTTTTAACGTGTAGCACTGGGATACTTTGATTTCCGCGTGGATTATCACTGCACAAAAACACACGATCACGAGGTGGTGGGACTAATTAAACCAAAATGCGCGTGATATGCTGGGACAACTGAAACCCGCCTTATAGTCTTTGCACCTCATGTGGGGCCTTTCAAGTTGACCTTTGACCTCCCACCACTACGAACGCCTGCACACAGCCTAGACCAGCTAATTGGAACTGGTTTTACACAAGTACTAGAGATTAGTAGTAATTTCTAGCCTGCCGAAGTGAACACAGCACAGGCAGAGAAGTTGTGGATGCTGCAGGACGTGAGAACGGACGGTCTAATGAGATTGACTCACGTTTCTGCGACATGCCCACTTCGAGGCACTTCTTGAAGCGGCAGCTCTTGCACATATTGCGGTTGGACGGAGTAATGCGGCAGGTCTGGTTGCCCAAACACTGCGGGATGCTGCTGGAGTGGACTGTGCGCCGGAAGAAGCCCTAAAAGAGGCAGCAGAGTAAAGTCCGCGAGTCGAACGTGCACCCCCTTTCAACTACCAATCACTGGCTGAGTTTGAGTTGGGGATGGTACCACATTAAAGCGACATCCTTGCACGCCACAAAACCACCTTCAGTGGGGACTCACCTTGCAGCCCTCGCAGGTCAGAGCCCCAAAGTGGAAGCCGGACGAGGGACCACCGCACACCCGGCAGGGTATCTTCGAGACATCACAGCCGAGTTCACCGCCAGGGGCTACAAAAAGTGCGACATAGGAGAAATAAACTAATTTTGTCCTTGTGTGTGTGCTTGCGTGTGTGTGTGTGTGCGTGTTTGTTTCTAGTGGCTTAACCGTGAACATAACGTGATCACATCGCCTGCCCTTCAGGTACACAAAGGCTAACTACAAGTCACGTGCTACCGACGGCGACGGCATGTGTGAAGTCGTCGCATTCCAGATATTGGCCTCTCGCTCTGCTCTGAGTGCGTGTGTGTGTGCATTTTGGATGCGTCAGCTGTGGACGTGCATTCACGCGAACGAGGTCACACCAGAAATAGAATGGCCGGGGGTGGGGGTGGAGATCGGAAACGACGCGTGCACGACAGAAGTGGGGGGTAGCGCGCCTAATGCGGAGGGGGGAGAGGATTAACAGCGTGGTGTGCACAGGTGATGCCCATTTCAAACCCTCCTGAGCCTATTGGCTGGCTAAATGCGAGCATTTGCCGTGGAGCAAGCACTGGTGGCAGGAGCTCTCAGCTTGTGCGACGATTTACAGACGCAATGCAGCTGAGCGAGTTGGAGAAAGTTGGGCACATCACGCCACCGGGCTCCAAACAACTGCGAATTTAGTTGCGCACAAGAACTGTCAGCTCATGGGACTGAATGGAACAATGAGAGTAAATGTAACCAACCACAGAGCCATCGTCTGCGTCAAGTCAGACGCGAACGCTTCGACAGCAGCACCATATGCCGAGGCGTTGCGTAATTCACCCTTCGAAGGCGTTGCAAGTTCGAAAGCAAGTTGGGGAGGCGGGGGCGAGGGGAGGTTAGGGGAGACGCTACAGGGCACCTACAAACAACCTCGAACGCAATTGACTGTGCGCACAAATGTCCCAGGGTGCGACCGACAATGTAGACAGTTTCCTGTCTGTCTACGTGCATCGCCGCACCGCATGGTAGTAAACAGGCAAGTGTGTTCTTTAAAACCAGGCCCGTCTGGGCACTTAGATATGCGCAGCATTTCTAAACCGGAGCGTACCAGTTGGGGGGCGATCAAAGAAGAGGCAAAACGCGGTCGACATGACGCACCACGCAGCCCCAGACCGGTGGTGCGTCTGAACAAAGCCATTTTTAGTGTATCAAAGCGGTGAAAACAGACAGCCCCAACCAGTGTTCGCGCGCCAATTAGCTGTCCCGGTAACAAGACCTTGCAAAAATGCCATTTTTTCGTGCTCTAAGTGGCCTATGAACACCCGACCACAGCTGAGCAGTCAGTGAAAGCGGAGGGCAAGACGTACGTGTAAGACTCATGCCAAGATCGAGGCACTTCCGGAAGCGGCAGTGGGGGCACTTTCCTCTGCCGGGTCCCTCGATTTTGCAGTTCCCGCCCATCGGACAGGCGACGCTCAAGTCCGCGTAGACGTCGCCGTGGGTTGGTTTCGATGGCTCGCCGTCAGCGGTGGCTGGCTTGTCCTTCTTGATTCGGTTGGTCAGGTGGCGAGTGAAAAACTTCTGAAAGAGGTAGATTCGAATTTAGGGGGGAAAATGTTGGTGACAGTACAGGCAATGCAACATATAATTGCAGAGGACAGATTAGTGACAGGAGAATGCCGAAATGATAACACTGGTTTGATTCGATTGAACGAATCTGTCCAAAAACACAAAAAAGTTAGCAAGGATTCCTATGAAGTCGCTGTTGAGCCTAATTGTAAGCGGAAGACGTGACATAGAGACCTCAAAAGCCCGTCTAGTCTAGAATTCGGCAAACTTTTGTACGCAGCAGTGGCTCCGCGTCAAAGCATTGCCTCATAATGATAATTTTTGTCAATATCACCACTGATAGCAAAAAGCCTATCCTTGCGACCTTAAGGACACCTTCGTGGCACGGTCCGTGCAGCATTGCGTGTTTCAACATGACGAAGCCTTGTAAAGTTTGCTTTCACGTCAATTATCGCGCACACCCTGAGTTATTTGCAATTTCCAGCTTGCGACCCATGAAAACACCCAAAATCTAATAAATAGTCGACTGGGTTAATGCCGTTTTGAAGGAAGGACCGCAGATTTCATGCTGACGCATTCCAGTACGAAAATACAAGCTGTGGGAAATTTTTGTAATTCGTCCGATGCTATCTCCTCCGTGTGTTGCAGAAATAAACCCAAGTGTCGACTCCCACGATGCACTTGAAATTTTGCGTGAGCATTCACTTGTAGTTTAGACTTGTAAAGGTTATCAAAATGAAATTTTTTTGAGGTTGTCTTGCGGAACAAAAGTTGCTAAACTGTTGTCGCGAAACACGATAATCCAACTGCTAAAATTATCAACATATTTTAATTTAGCTATTCGATTGGTTGCCATGACAACTTTTGTAGGCATGATAAGATGTTATAGTGCAAATAGTAGCAGGTAAATTTTGCTTGGGTCCTTGATTAACAAAAACGGAGCTGCTACAGCCAGAAACGTGAGCCTGCAAGCCAAATAACAGCTAAAGGAGATGAAATAGGTTTCTACGGTCATAAAGAAACATATTTGGTGGATAAATTGGAACAAACTAGGACGTAAAACAAGTTAACTCATGAATTAACACACGGAGAAATCCCAGGGTTCTTTTCTCCGAAGCGTAGCACAGTGTAATCACAAAAATAGACTATCCGCCACTAAAAATCGAGAGTCCGAAGCAAATTTTGACGAAAAACAATAGGATAAAACGAGATTGTGTGGCTATGTCGAAAAAAAACTAGGTCTGAAAAAAATGAGAGAATAGAAGAGAATAAAACATACGTAACATTATAAGATTTGCTGTGTTGATAAAACTAGTATCAGAAGATAATATGCGAACCAATTTACTAATTAGGAAGTCGGCTAAGAATAAGACGGTTCTGATTCACGTTTTGGAGGTAAGATACAAGTAGTTAGCACTAAGAATATTTGTTATTTAAAGAAAAAAACCCATGGAGATTAGGAAGGGGAAAATTGATGAATGGCGACAATTATACGAAGGGACTTGGTATCACGAAGGAAAACGATGAGTGCAATTAAGCATGCAAGGGTTAAGCATCGTGTCTATCTCAATTATTTTGCATTCGGAGTTACTTCTGCCAGCCTTTTACACACAAAAAACTACAAATGGCCTAGAAAATTAATAAAAAGTATCACTGGGAACGTCTTTTAACAGAAATGTTGACTACTTCAATGGTTCGGGAACACAGTGCGATGGACATCAATGATTTGTATTGTAACATGTGTTGAGGTAACTGGCTGTTGTGGGTTTGATCAAACCAAGTAATACAATGATATACTTGCCTTGCAGGCTTCACAAACGTAAGCGCGATGATGAAAGCCGACTGAGGGCTGACCGCAAACTTGACAAGCTTGGTCCTCAGAGCGCCGCTGGTACTGAGTAAATGCAAATTCTGGCGTCATTTCATCCGTAAGGTATGCAGAAGAAACGGACGGTGCAGATAATGAGGACTTGGAGCGGCACGTTGAATACCCCACATCAGCTGGACTTGTTTCTGAAGCATGAGGAGAAACCCACGAAGAATCCGATGGCAGAAATCCGTGAAGTTTTATCACGCCTGGATCAGGAGACAGCTTTTTTGGTCGTTCCAAAGTTGTCAAAGAGACTGAATCTACCATGTCTTCGTCAAAGTACATTACACGACTCTGACTAAGACGATCATTTTCGCGCTGTCTCGCAGCTAAAGAAATTGTTTCAAATGGTTGAAAAGAGGAAATCCTCACATCCTCGACGTCATCAATCATAATAGCAAACAAGCATTCAAAAAACCACGAGTCAACTGTAGGTTAATGAACTCAAAATGCGCAAAGTAACTTTCCATGTCGTCGATAGCTGATACAAACAAACTGAAAAAGTAAACGTTTTTATAGTTTCAACACTAGATATCATTTAAATAAACTTAAGGAGCTTGAAAATGTATTTTGTTGGTCCTAAAATTTATCCATCGTCCTAATACTTCGGCCAGTTCATTTCCTGCGACGCATAATTATCAAGATGGCTTAAAAGAGACGTCCACATGTAGGCATTTAATTATGACATTAAAGTCACAATTGCAACACGCTTGTGAGCTGACATTCATTTTGCCTAAATTTATACAAATACTTTAATATAACAATAAGCAATTTGATTCCGGTAATTAGCATTCAAAATACAATACTAATAGCAGTAAACTTGCTTCCACAGAATAAAAAACCTCTGTTATGATTGCTCTTGGTTTTTACAAAACACAAAAGCCTGGTCAGAGCCTCAATTAAACATTTATACTGGTATTATCTTTCAGTATATCGTTTGATTAACAGAATCTTGAGGTGTAACTCTGTGTGGAAAAGCCCCATGTCGCTGGAGCAATTAACTTTCATAACACTACGTTTTTTTAAAAGAAATCAACATGCGACCTATTTAAGTTAATCAATTTCTGTTTATTTTTAAGGATATGAATCAAAGCTGTGCCCACAGGTATTGTCAACTTGCAGCATGTAAATTATTTTAACGCACACGAACTATTTGCATTGCTACCACCATACTGAGACAATAGCTTAACCTAACCTATAGAATTTACGCATTTAGCACTGTGCAAATAGGCAATTTTGGTAGGTTAATTGATTCGATTAAAGTAGCTACATAGTGACGCAGTTATGGCTGGCGCATGAATTACGTGATCCAAATACTCCATTTAATACTAACATCGATTTAGCTTATCTCATTGTTTCATAATTTTACAATCACATTTGCAAGTTATATTTTCTCCCATATAACCACGGAATACCGATATCAGCTCGCCAAAAGGACACAATGTTATGGAGATTCCCCAAGACTTACATATATGCTATACTCACTTTTAGCTGGATAAACAGGTAGAGACATTATTGCATGGCAAATACGCAGGTTTAAAAAATGTTTTATATCAAACTTGAAGGCATAAATCTGACAGAAATAGCGGACGCTATAAATTAAGGTAATTTAGCTATAATGCTTAGGTAATAAAGAAAACAATTTTCAATATTCAAAAACAAACTGCATTAAAAAAGCATGGCTGCATTATCATTTATTATGCTAGAAACACAAACCTGTTCACATAAATATAGGTATTGGAAGATTAGTTGAATATATCAATTAATCCCATTTTGAATTATGGAAATCAAAATAACATATTTTTGCCTCCTTTATTATTTAATTAAATATATACCTCTTGTTTTTTTGCAAAAAAAACAGTTTGCTTATTGCTATTATAGGTTCATATTTTGCCTTTGGTTTTTCTTTGTTTTATTTTACAACAAAGTTCTTCCAACATTCAATTTCTTCCGGCTCTGTTTTCGAGTCGTTCTTAATCTTCGCGTTCTTTAGCTTTTCCGTGGCTAAGGACTCTGGAGAATTCTAGTGAGGCCTAATTTTTTAGTAATGTATATGAACAGGACGGAAATTTTGTTTTCGTTTGCAAGAAGTTGTGTTGTTCCAGATGGGCTTTAAATTTTCATCCGCTTATATTATTAAACCGCATCGATATGTTTATTGAAAGACTCGTGTAACGCAGTTGATTGCATGGCCTAGTGATTTTATTTGTCAGACTTTTTATGTTGGAATTGGCAGCAATAAGGAATGCCCTAGTGTTTGTTGTCTCCTGTATCCTAACTTTTAAAATTTTTACCAATTTAGTAATTATGACAGCAGTTTTGAAAACCTGATGCATAGCGGATCCGCCTTTGAGCAAATTCGGCGAATCTTCCACGTCATTTTTGACCTTTTCACGAATCTTGCAAGATTGTTGTTGTTCGTTGCTATGGACGTGTATTGGGATTGTGAGATTCGTTGTTATCTAATCGCTGATTTCATTTTAGCTTTAGCGATGTTTACAACCCCTCAAATAGATTACTCATATCTTCCTGACACGGACGAACAAGTTTGGATTCTGGGTACTAGTCGAAGTTCTTTAAAGGGTATGTCATACTGGTCCCCCTTTTTATCATTGTCCTCTCTTCCGTAAATTGTCCAGAAAAAAAACCATTCTCAATCAGATAATTTATTGCCATTTTAATTCACAATAGGTTAATGGGAGTTGTATTTCGCTTGTTTTCTAGATCGTGTTGAGATCTCTGATGATATTCGTTCGAGGCTGTGGTTTACTTATCGAAAAGGCTTTGTCCCAATTGGCGATACGAACGGCCCAACAACAGACACTGGATGGGGTTGCATGCATCGGTGTGCTCAAATGTTAGTTGGGCAAGCGCTAATCCAACTCCACCTCGGTAGAGGTTAGCGTCACTTTGATTTGCAGAATTGTCTGTGCTAGAGTTTATTACACTTTCTGCTTCAGGTTTGTCTCCATCAGGCAACTCTCGAAACTAAAGGTGTTTAGAAACCTAATTTGTATCAATTTATTTTTATTTTCGCGTAAAATTTCATGAAATATATCTACATGTAAAGCTTATTTTTGGTTGGCTCCTTCTAAATACGGTGCTTTTTTCTTTCTAGAATGGCGCTGGAACCCCGATCGACCGGATGTAAAGTATCGGCGCATTTTAGAGATGTTTCAAGATAAACCGAACGCCCCTTATTCTATTCACAGAATTAGTAAGCTCGCTACCAGTAACTCTTCAAAATCATACTATTTCTTTTTTTACTTGATTGCTGTTTTCATTCCATTATTAGCCACAGAAGCAATCACAGGTGACAAAAAACCTGTCAACAGTTGGTTAGGACCCAATACAGCCGCCCAGACTTTAAAGTAAGAGCTCTATGCAGTGCCACGTGTCCGTGTGACTCTTGGACAGCACTGTGTGTCGCGTTGATCGTGCTCAAAGGTTTTTGTCAACCAGGCTAACCTTGCCGGTACAGCGCCACACGGTTGCTATTTGCTCACTTGCCCTAAGTAGTAAATGTCTCCACTGCCTCTCGTGCCTTTTTTGTTTTACGCCTTGTCTTACTACCTAGTTTGCCTACTGATCGCTAAATGAATATGTTAGACTTCTCCGATTGGCTGATAAATTGACCTTTGTTTCTTTAAGGAAACTCTCCGTTTTCGATCGTTGGTCAAACCTTGCTATTCACGTAACCACCGAAGATGGGATTGTGGTCCCAGAAATCAGTAAGCTGCATTGCCACGTTCTTCTCTTTCTTCGCGTTTTAGTCACCTGCCCTTAGCGGGAATCTCCTCCATCCTTTATTGGAGCAAAATCCGAGCTAATGCGTAGGGGCTATAGACGCCGAGGGATATTTTAGCAGTTTCTTTAATCCCATACCTCCACAACTGCACACGGAACCTCATTTTACGTTTGGAAGTAATGCAGTTATGGGGATTGGTAAACGGTTATTTCATTATTCCCACTGTCTCTTGTGCTCTCTCAAGATAATGTGGTCAGTTGTTCTAAGCAAGAAAATCGCCCTAGTTTTCTTCTGGATTTTACTCCACTCGTTAGCTCCTCCGCCTTTGCTCTTGCAGAAATGCTTTGTCGTCAGAGTTCCACGTCGTCGCGGTGTAATCTGCAGTCCCAACCAGCGGATGAGGTGCCTCGAAAATCTCCCGAAAAATCGCCCCCCTCTTCTTCCCCAATCTCCCACGAATTCCTTCACTACTACACAGCCCTGAAGAATAGTGAGAGGTGAAAATGCCTTTCTTCTTATTATTATTGTTCTTTTCTTGTCTTCTCGATGCACTTGGTTGTGATGCGTCCTATCAACGTGGCAGGACTTGCAGTCATTTGGAACGTACAGGTAACACTGGAAAGATATGCGAAATGCCACTAGGTGCATGACTTAGTTTTTTTACAGATTTTTTGCATGAGGTTTAAAGTGGAAATATTTCCGCAGTCCTTTGTGATTTTGAAAGGATCGCGCGCAAGGTTTCACAGCACCGAACGACAAGTCTACGTGAATTACATAACCTCTGAGATTAGCTGTATTTACGATAGCAACCGATACACAACAAGGCACAAATGCTGCTTCCTAATCACGGGAATCAGTTTGTAGTGTTCTTGATGCCAACATTGTGTGTCTAATGACACGTGTAACTATTGTTACAAACGTTTTAGAGGTAGTAATTCGATCTTAGTGACCAGCCGCGCTCCGAAAGTTTGGAGGTATGGAATTGCAGGCCATGCTGGATAAAAATCCAGTGCAAACACACTCAAGCAGCGATTGTTCCACCAAATGGGAAAAATTCAGAAATTTGGAAGGTAGGTCCCACGTGTGCTGGCCGAACACAACCTAGGTCAACGTATGAACACACGCCTTTTACTGCTTGCCCGCCAACAGCAAAAAAGAGCTCATGATCATTGTGATGGCTGGTGATAAATATATCTTTTACAAGAATCCCAAATGTAAACCCTTCGGTGAGAAATGAAGGGTGTGCTTTATTGCGAACTCCTCGCGACTGGTCACACGGTGACTGCGGAACGATTCTATCGGCAATTTAATAACCTAGACGAAAAATTGGAATTAGAAAAGGCCATTTACTGGGCAAGGAAGCAGGCAAGTCATGCTGCTGTGTGACAGTGCCCAACTTAGCGTTGCACGCACGACTCAGGAGATTCTCTTGAACTTGGGATGGGAAGTACTTCAACAAAGGTCAAAGAAAACGGTGGACAGTATTTCCACGATTAAGTTCGTTTTTCTCTGTCTTTGCTGAAAATTTGTCCAAATTAAGTCATGCACGTATATGGACTGTGCGCGGTGACTGGACTTGCCTCACTCTGTGCCGTTTTTCGCCTTCAGACCAGTCATTGTGAGCAACCCCATTAGCAGGGAACTCGACGACGACTCGGTAGAGATCATTCTTCCCCCAGTGTACAGCGTGCCAGACAACTTGTGCGCCAATCCGCTGGACCCCAAGCCCGATGGGGGTTCACCCCCTCCCCCCTCCGAGGTCCCCACGTCGCCAAATCCCCCCGTTCCGGTGTGGCGTCCCCTACTCCTGATTGTCCCTTTACGACTTGGCCTCCACGAGTTCAACATGTGCTACGCGGCCGCACTTAAAGTGAGTTAGTTTGTTGGTACGTCAAACAGCCTATAGGGCTAGTAGGATTGTAGTGGCTTGCTTGTGCTACCCCACAGGGGTCGGCCAAGACGAGAAGTAGGAGCTGGTAGGGGTGCAGGAGAACAAAGCGCAAGTTCGTCGTTGCTTGGGTGTGAGGAGAAGACGTTGGTGTGTTGGGGATGTCAAAATTTCCCAAGAAAAGTAAATTAACACAGTGAGCCGTGACGTCTATTCATGCAAGTTCTGTTTACTGGATTACAACTCTGCTGTCACGTAGATCGTTGATCACATCAACAACTCATCACTCAGCGTTACTTGCTCAACTTATCGATCTCAGATCGCCCCGGTCACATCTGATCACTCACTTGACTTCCGCTTTGGCCCCAACTGGAACTACGAGCCTCTTGGGTCCATTCAGTAAAACCTTCCACACAAGTTCTAGCCAGTTCTTATTCCGGGGGAAGCCTTCGACGTTCCAAACAAGGGCTTCCATCTCCTGGCTCGGGATTTGCTTCAAAACACCGCGGAAAACGCAACATGCTGTCATCCGTGTTAGAGAGGGTGTACGCTCGCGGTATCCTGTGTTCCACTTCTGTCAGTTGGGAAATACCTGTCTGCGCCTCGTACAACCTTAAAGGGGCCTCTTAACGCCATCGACACGAAAGAAGACCTGGGTAGAGGTGAACCGCGCTAGCCGTGAAGAAATCCCTGTAGGGGTTTGTCGAGTCTCCCTCGTGAGGTACTTTAAGATGAAGGTGGAATGTCAGCACTGTTGTCTGAAGTTGTGACTACTTCACCAGGCAAACGCAAATAAAAGTTAGTCATCACCCAAACAGCATTTGCACCTGGTGGAAAATTCAAAACGTGGACGTTTGGTCCCACAAACAAGACGTGAATTGCGCACCCCGATACCCATGATTCCGTGAACGCGCGGCAATAGTTTCGGTTACACCGTCTTTCATGGTGATTGTTATCGATTAGCGAGTAAAGCATTCCATGTAACTTAGGACATGGACGTAGGGCATGTCCACTTCGCTTCCCCACACTCACAGGGCTTCCCTGGTGTGTCTCTAAGGGCTTATTCAAGCTGCCGCAGTGCGTGGGCATAATGGGCGGACGGCCGAATCACGCGCTCTGGCTAATTGGCAGTGTTGGCGACCACGTGCTCTGCCTGGACCCGCACACAACTCAGCCCTCGGTCGGTGGCGGCGGCGAAGATGTGGCCTCGCTCGACGCCTCCTTCCACTCCTCCACGGCGGTGCGACTGCCCTTCGCCCGCCTCGATCCGTCCCTCGCGGTGGGCTTTGTGTGCGCCACGGAGGCCGAGTTCGACGCCCTGCGGACGGACCTTCTTGCTGACGTCCTCTCGAACCGCCTCTCACCGCCCATCTTCGAGATCCACGAGGTCCGACCCCACAATATGCCACCGCCGTCTTTTGCTTCGTTGCGGACGCCCGATGAGTGGAGTTACTTGTACGTCCAGTCGCCATCACCTAGATTTTATTGGGTTACGGTTCTAGGGTAGCTGGCGGTTGAAAAGGCGCGTGTTGCCGTCTATGTGAACCATTGGAGACATGACTCATTCCAAGAAACCAACCAACCAATCAGTGCAGACGCCATATTTAAATCCTCCAATCACCATCAAGCAATTTGCGTGTTGTTTCCTTTGACACTGATTTGGATTTCATAGCATAGTTGGACTAACTTTTTGGGTTAGTAGCAGAACGAAGTGGCAAACGATAAATTTTCAACAAAATCGCAATAACCCACCCCCCAACCCGGTAGACATGAGTCGATGTCACAGTCGTAACCACGTGCTCAGTTACAATGTGCTATCTGTAGTTTAAAATTACCACTGATTTTCATTGTAGATGGTGACTTCGAACACGTCTAGGTGCCCCATAACGCCTTCCCCATCTCGGAATCAAGTGTACTTCTACCGTTTTTTACAATTCGCTCTGTTTTACTTACGAAAATGGACATTATTGACTTGTCTGGATTATGGATACTCCATTCTAATGTGCTTGACTTGTTTTCTACTGTTAAAAAACCTATAAAAAAACTCACATTTTGACTCGATTTTCACTGGTAGGACTTCGGTGCGCGGTCTTCATGTTTTGTAAAATAAGGGGAGTATGAGACAAGGCCAATACTACACCTCCTTTTCTTGCAAGACTGCGCTATTTTAAGTCGCAGGTTTTGCATCAGAACTTAGTCTGAATTCTTCGTTGTTTGCACAGCGTCCTGGGCATCAGTTTGGCGTAATCTCGGGATGTGTGGGTAGATTTGAGAAATCGTGTTCTCATTTTCACCTCTTGGACGTTTACTGCTTCCAAAATGCTCTTCTTGGGGGTAATTTTTAAGCAAGATGCCTCAGTTCGATGTTGTGTTGGCTCAAAATGCTTTATCGCGTTCATCAGTGCGTCTGAGGTTCTACAATTCAACCCCAAACTGTGGGTTACAGAGAAAGTACAACCAGCAAATGAGATGACCTGTGACGACTCATCATTCATGCAGTCGTGACCTCACTCGCCGTATTTTCACCGAAAATTCCTCGTTGTCTCGGAATCGCTCGCGGGTAACTGGATGCGGCACCGTCTAGAGTTCGAGTTTGTGTGATAACTCGATGTCACAGCCTCAATTTTGCACCAATTACCAAAGGAGACTCGTTATAGAGAAGTTATAAGCTAAACACTTTGCCAGTAGGAGATTTTCAGCAAAATCGGCCCACATTTTTCTCAAACTGCGATTAGTTTTCTCTGCTAACTGTAAAATCCAATTCTATAACCAATTCGCTTGTGCCACTCAGAGACGACACGAATAAAGACAAAGAAACTGTTGAATTTTACATAATCTGCCCTCACTTCAGGCGCTAAGTAATATTGTGTGCCCGCTGTATAGGGTTTACATTTGAATGGATTAGTCCCGATGCGAACACCTTTCATAGACGCAACTTGATTTTGAGGAAACACGACATCGCGCACACCACACGATAACCGGGTTTTGTTCGTCTTACACTGGCAGTTGTGTAGACTTTTCGGGTTGTTGGCTATTCACAAAATTCCTTCCAGACGTTCACGCGCTTTCACAGTCTTGATTGGTGTCAGCAAAAATTTGGATTACCGCCCAGGACGTGAATCTACTTGCTTCACTTCTGATTGGCGGATTTCGACCAATTGGATGTCTTTATCGTGCATCCGGGACATGACGGTGTCACAGACACTACTTTCTAACAAACAACCGAGGAACTTCGGGTATTGAAACAGACTGGCTCAGTATTTTAAATATAATTTGATGGGAAAAACCATGCGGATTCTTAATCCCGATTCTCAACTTGGCCAAACGAATCGCCATCAGACAATTTTGGAGTCACAAGACCCTTAGAATGTCCCTCACTGAGTCCAAATCTCAACCGGTCCCGATAAATCTAGGCGGTCGATTTCGTGCTAGAGATTCATGAATAGCCCATATACGCGCCGCATCGAAGACCGCGTGCGACGGTGGTTCTTGAGACTGTAATGAATCCTGCTGATTCGAGTCTAGTCACGCGATCGTCGCAGTCTCCTCCGAGCTGACCCCCGTTTTACGCCGGCCTTATCGATCACACGGCCAGATACTTCCGTGCGTGTAATTCAGACATTTGTAGGTGTAGAGATTCATTAAGACTGCAATTGTCAACAGCCCTCATCACACAGAGGACATTTTATGCTCAGTAGCGGGACTGACAGCCGGATTGATCTCTTAGGTAAACGGGTGTGCCCCCACCATCTCTGAGTTTCGTTGACGTGCTCAATCAAACCAGCGGCCACGGTATGTGGTCTCGTCGTACCTTGCCAAAGCCTTCAATAAATTACAAATATATATATTTTTTTAATATGAGTATAAATTATGCAACACTAACTGGTCGACAGATGCCACGATAATAAACTGTAGGTGTGCTAAATTGAGAAACGAGCTCAGTAAGTAGTGGGAACGAAAGTCTTGCCTGGATCTCAGCCACAATTGTAGACGAGATTTTCGCCGATACAAATGTGTCAACAGAGTGTTGACCACGTCTGTCGCCTTGCTAACATACTAAGACATTGGTACATTGGGGTTTTAAAATGAGCGGTTTGTCATCCAGTGCTATGTTAGTCTTGCTAAACCCCTAGAGAAGCTGAAACTCGGACAACCATGGAGCTAATGTATCTGCTGTCCAAATGAGTATTTTGTACTACCTAACTGCGTAGTTGGTGTCGCCTTAAGTTAAAATCAGCGTCAAAT